TCGCCGATCATTTCCTTAAGGTCATTTTTTAAAGGGAACCATTGGAAATGTGGTAGGAGACACCTCTCCAGCTTTCTCCTCACACCTGCCTCGGTGGCCTTCACCAGCTCTCAGGGTCCAGAAGACTATTAAAGCTGGATGTACTCTCAGAGTTACAGGCTCAACTTCCTGAGCAGGGCAAAGGTCCCCTTGGCCAGCTTCCTGGTGGCTGTTTACCCAGCTCTGCTTACATCACATCAGGGACAGAACTTACTACCTCCCAGCCAACCTCGGGAGATCTCAGGGACTGATGAGAGCAACCGCACTCTGAGGAGCTCCCACCCCCTCCTCTCGACCCTCCCCTTCCGCTCTGCAGGGTCTTCCCACCCCATGCCAGTGTAGACTTGCACATCCAGCGGCCTTTCCACCACTGCTCTAGCCACAGTCTTAAGGTCTGAAAAACCCTTCCTTCCCCAGCTCCATCCTGGATTCCTACGTGTCCTCTTCAAATCTCCTAGCTTCTATGGTACCTAGGACCTATCTGTGCTACCAGGAGCAGCTTCTGGGACCTACTGAGCCGTGCCTAGACTCCTGGCAGATGTTATTCCCTGGTGGGGGTGGGGTGAAAGGGGTATGTAGCTGGGGTCAGGAAAGCCTGCTGGGGCCTGGCAGCCTGCTGGCTGAGTGGTAACCCCTGCAGAGCTGTCTGTTGACATTTATGAGAAGAGTCCAAGCCTCTGCTGGGAGGAGGCAAGGGGAGGCGGTCTCTTAAACCGCCTTCTCTCCCGGGCTCTGGGCCCTGCCCTCACTGGTCAGTATAAACAACGTCTGGACAGAGCCTTCCAGGAAGTGGCTCCTTGAAGCTGCCCGCCTGCTGGCCTGTGTCTCTTCTCTCGCTGCTTCTTAAACTTGCCCTTTATGCCACCTCTGCCGCTGCAGGAGGGCACAGGAATACCCGACTCCTACCCCCACCCCTCCCACGGCAGCTGGGCTGGCTAGGAGGCCCAAGGAATTTTCTCTGAAAATCTCTGCTGAGGGTTCTTCCCTGTAGAGCCATGGCTGGCAGAAGAGCCTGCTCTTTCAGCTCCTCACATGTGGATGCTCTTGGGCATCCTGCCCTGCCCCCTCCTCCCCCAGGTTCATCAGCTGTCCCACAGCCTTCTGTAGTAAGTGGAGAGAGAGCCCAACAGGCCATGAACCCTGAGCACAAAGCCCAACACGCAGGCAGTGTCCCACAGAAGCTTGTTCTCTTCCCCCCTTCCTTGTCCTCTGCCGGCACATGTCCAAGTTCCTGCAGCGTTCTTTTGACTTTTTGAGGGTCCTTTTGGGAGAATATTTCAGAAGATGAAGACTCCTCACTCCCTTTCTTCTTTGGCTTGCTACCCTTCCTGTGCACACACCTTGAGAGAGAGGACCACACCAGCTATCAGGCTGTCGTCCATTTCTAAAATACTCCTCTCTGAATTTTGCCTGGGCCTCAGCCCCTCCCTCCGCATCATCTGGAACACTGAGTTGCACTTTGTGCATAGGGCTGAGCCTGGAGCGAGCTAAGGCGCCTGTGAGGGTCTCAGCTCTACAGCTCAGTGTGCTGCCTGCTCCTGGGGCGAGCTAAGGCACCTGCGAGGGTATCAGCTCTACAGCTCAGGCCCTTGATCAGCATCTGGTGTCCAGATGCAGAAACAGGCAGAAATACTCAGCTGCTTGTTGTGGGTTTCCAGGTAGTAACAGGCAGAGCCAGCCTGTGATTAAGGAATCAGACCCTGTAGCCCAGGATCTGAGCTTGCCCTGTGGGACTGAGACATCTGGGAGTTGCCAGCATCTGGCCTCTAAGTGTGGCATTGGCATGATGGGCTATCTGGGCCTACAGGAGACCAGGCACCCCAACCCTGTGTATCTGGCAGACCACTCCACAAGGGACATGTTCTAATTCTGAGCTGTGGTTCTGCTCCTCATTCACTTCTTGTCCAACTGCCTATTTTCTCCCTTTAGTTATAACCTACACCACATTACCTGTGTGGGCTCTCTCATCATCCTAATTCTAAACAGAGACCCTGGTACCTAAATTCACAGTTTATTTCTAATCCTGACTGGGACCCCATGTTTTGTTCCAAATGTGGTAGGATGAATTGACCCTCCCATTTCTGTCCTTTGCCCTAGATACAATAGGCAAACTCTAGGTCTTGAGGGCTCTCTGAGCAAAAAGAGGTCTGAAGAATCAAATTCCAGAGCCAGCCTGCTGGGGACTGGCCCTAAATCCCTCCATCAGCTAAGGGAAATCTCAGAGCTGACTGTGGCAAGACACTCGTGTGTGTGTGTGTGTGTGTGTGTGTGTGTGTGTGTGTGTGTGTGTAAGTCAGGGAACAGTGCACATGTCACCCGCCTTTCTTGTGAGACAGGTCTTTAATTGGACTGGAACTTCACCAAGTACACCAAAGTGCCAGAGCTTCCAGGGTTATGCCTGTCTCAGCCTGTCATCTCTCCATCACGGGGATTACAAGCCTGTGCTACCACACCAGACTAACTTACATGGAGTCAGAGGGTCAAACTCAGGTCTGCATGCTTACAGAGGAAGCTATACCCCCAGCTCCACCCCCTACCCCTTCAACAGCTCAGGCAGACTCACCTTTGGAAATGGAGGCAGGAGAGCCCATGCATATGGTGTCTTACTTCCGGATGACAGAACC